TTTGCACCAAGAAGCATTTTGTTGGAGAATAAAATGATTTAGATTAATGACAGTGATTTCAGGCTTTGACTTGAATTCACTGATCCTTTCTTTTTGTCTTTAAAGTTTGCGTCTATGATATTTGCTGTAATTTTGGTGATTTTTTTTTTTATTTGAAGATAAAATTCCCAAACCTGCCAGTAAGATTTGGAGTCCCAAGGGTTACATCCTGCCCCTTCTTTTTTTAGTCTTTGGTTTGTTCATATCTTCTCACACATCCGTCCTTCCTCTTTAGGACGGTTAACAACAGTCGGCTGGACACCAGCACCACTTCAGCAATAGAGGCTTCAGCTCCATCTTCCACCGGCTCGTCTGTGTTCTCAGACACAAAACTGGACCTGTCCAGCAACAGCAAAGAGGAAGGAAACCCTGCTGACCTATCACTGACAAGTCAAAGCCAGTATGTGGAAGACAAAGAAATGCTTGACACCAAAAAGGATCAACAGTTTGGTTGAACTGATTGTGGCCTCTTGGTATACTGTGCTAGAAAACAATAACATTGGGTAGGATCAGCGCTGAGTGGGATTGGAAAAATAAGATGTCAAAGGAAACAAAAAAGGTTAAAACTGAATTAAAAAGTGACTTTTTATGAGTTGGTGCATTATTAGATTTTAGGTGTTACATATATAAGTATTAGGTTGTGCTGCATAAAACGGCTGAGCTCTTTAAACGGGCGGTCCCCTAGGACAGATCTTAATATATTGGTAACCAATAGTGAACAGAACTCTTTATTGCTGACATTCTGGTCAAATCTACAGTGAAAGATCCCACCTAGACAAAACTAAGCTATTTATAAGAATGTTGTCCAAAATGATGAACTAAATTTAGCTTTTTATTTGAAGCACCTTTTACACTCCTCCCTGCTCACCTGAAACAGGGGTAATGTAAATTTACCGAAAATGCAAGAAACAAGGTATGAAAGCATTTACAACCACGGCCCACTGTAGAGAAACCTTTTCTGATTTCTTGTTGAAATTTGAGACTTTTTTTCATCTTAGCCTTGTGTTCAACGTGTGGAGGTTTTCCTTGAAGAAGAGTCGCACCTTATCTATTTTAGTAAAAAAAATTACAAATCGTGTTTTCATGACAATATGCCCCCAATGTTTGTAGCAAATTGCTATAATTTAGGTCCCTTAATATTATACTACGTATAAGCCTGTTGCACCCTTCAAATTTTAACTGTGCTGTTTTTATCGTCCAGTAATTTCACTGATAAAATCATCAAAGTAATGGGATTCATTTAATTCTCCCTTTCCCCCCTAAAATACCATGTTGTTTGTAGTCCAGGCTGAACAATACTGCAGTTGCCCTGTGCACTCAGCAGATCAGTATGTCAACAGATATAAGTTAAATGTGTCATGACCCATATCCGTTCAGGATTAGCCTGGAGCGCTGCAGCCTTTCACATTAATGGCATCTTGAGCAAGAGACAGAGATTACACTTGTCTTTTCAATGCAAAATTTGTGACTGGGTGTGCCAGAATCCAGTTCTGTCCACATTCTTTGGAGGCGTCGTAGCGTCCACACCTCACAGAGACAGATCCCTAAGGTATAAACCTCTGGGTGTGGTCCGGTTCACTGGATCACACTGTGCACAGGGTCGGACCACACTTTGTTCAGACCACCGCGGCTGAGTTTTGAAACCAGTGCGTAAGTGCCTTAAAATGCAGTTCCTCTGATGGCCACTGTATGGCTTTAATCGCTTTAAAAAAAACATGAACCGTTTTAAAGTAACTAAGAAAACCCCCCACTTCTCTTAAAAAGTAAATGTTTCTTCTACTAAAATGTATGCCTCAACAACTAATTTAACTTATTCTAACGTGTGCCTTAGTGGCATTTCGGAAAGACTCTCCTTAATTAAGATGCGATTAGATCAAATTAGATTCATGCTTGTTATAATTGCACAGACTACGCGCCAGTACAATGAAAAGTGGTTGAGCATCTAGTGCAAGGATATGAGGCTGAAAGCATTGGTTTTACCAGATTACCAAAAAAAAAAACCAATTTCATCTCATCCACCTGTTGTAGTTTGTAGCCATACAGATGTTTAGTTTATTTGCATTAGGTATTGAAATATCCGTCTCTAAGATTTGATCTATTACAAGTGAATGGAATTTCATTAGTTACACTCACAGCATTAAAAAAGTACAACCGTTTTGTAGATGGGGTTTATGGAGAGAAATGCTGCTGTTGATTTTATTTTATTTTTTAAGTATGTTTTTTTTAATGTTATGAGCACCACAAATGAAATTCCAGACTAAAATGGGCATGTTTGCTTGATCGACAGATGTCTAGGCCTTTCACAGTCAGCTCCGGTGACTACATTACCCTCCGTTTCCTCCATATCGTCCGTATTTGTATTAGCTTGCATCGAGCTGTAGTTTATTGTCCAGTTTTGACGTGCAGAGACACACTGAAAAGACAAGTGTAACTAGAGCAGAAAGCCCTAATACCATTTCTTTCTACATATAATATATATATATATATATATGACACTGGTACTATATGTTAAAGATTGACTTTTTTAAAGGTGTCAAATTCCCCAACTTGAAAAAATCCCCTTTAAATTCTCATTCTGTATTGACACACCTGTCGTAGTCTGCATTTGTGTGCTTCTTTTTAGACAAAGTTGTTATATTATTGTTGATATTGACAAAAGGCAGAGATTGTATTTGCTGGAAGTTGCTGCTTGAATGCCCTAAAGCCTTATGAGAAGTGAATAGCAATTAAATCAAATTTGTCTCCAATTCCAATAAGATCAATAAGCAACATTAAACAGACTGAAGTAAATTGTCTAATAAATCCAACGTCCAATTTGTAGAGGAACACAACTTATGTAACTGTGTTCTTGGTACCAAAATATTTACCAAGCCTGCTGTGTTTGCTGCTGTAATTGTCTTTGTTAAGCATTGAACCATTGATGGAAACGGGAAATCTGGGTTTGGACCATTGAGTTTTGGAATTAGAGTTCCGTGGGTAGAACTCTGATGAACTACATGTTTGCAGCCATGTATAGAAAACAAAACTACTCGTTAAGTGTTTGAACTGTGGTGTTTCAGAAAGGATAATTTAACCCTTTTTTCCTTTAGGTGTTCTCATTTTTAAAAAAGAAAAAAAAAAAGAAAATCTAAAGATAATAGCTAACCCTTAGGGGCTTTTGAGTCCCCGATCCAACATTATTACGCTGTTGTACAATGTCTGGTTACAATGAAAAATATCCCTTTTTTTGTACTGTAATGGGAATGAGCAGATAGGAATCGCAGTGTGGTTGTACAATATTAAACATAAAGGAAACGTTTGCAGTTCTCTACTAATTAATGGCCAGGGCTTGTGTCATGAAGAACAAAAACATGGCAAAGGACAAGACAAGCAAACAATAGTTCCTCTGGGAGCATTTACCTAAACTGCTGGTCCTTTTCTGGGCTTGACCACCATCTGGGTTCCACGTCAGCCTATAGAGCCCTCTGAGATCGAGCTCATTCATACAAAATGTGACACTCCACTATCCTCTATCCATGACAAGTAAGGGTCTCTAACTCCAAGTGCGCCCGCCCTTAGTCTCTCCACTCAACAACAGGTGGGAATGTAGCAGTCCTGCTCTGCTCCCCAGTCCGTCTGATACCTGAAAACCAGTTGAGTTGGTGTTGAATCTCAAAGCCCTCGTTGTCTGTTTTACAGGACCAGCTTGTATCTTTTTGAACGTAAAACAGTTTGAAAATAGTTGTTGTAGAAATAAGCTTTGCAAGGCAGCTTGTCGCCCAGCTTGAAAGCCCAGCGCAAACCAGATGATGAATTGGGACAATCTGGGTAATGAAGCTGTCAACCCAAAATTGTTTGTTGTTCTGTGATCATTTTAATAGAAAATGACTATGAATCCCTCACTGTGTGCAGTCTCTAGACTGTAATATTCCCAGTTTACCCAAAGTTACGCCCCTGCTGACAACACACTGGATACTTGTATATATGTTTAGTTTGTTTCCAATGCATTTCTCTTTTCAGACTGTTGTCTCCATAGTTTGACACTAGAATCTCTCCTTCTTGCCTTTTTTCCCATATAAATCTGATTACCTGATGGTGGGTTGTGATGTTGCCTAGAATGATTGTTTACAATTTTATTCCATTTATCTCTGGATATTCTGTAAATATTGTAATTCATTGTCTTTTTTTAACTTGATAATAAAGTTATCAGATAACAGTTAATTGTGTTTTTTCTCCTCTCTGTGCACGTCATGCTGATTTAATGAGGCCTTTAAAATGTTACTTATCCTCCGATAACACTAAGATTTGAAGCAATATAGGCTGAACTTTTAGATACAGAAAGAAGAAATTTGTTGGAAATTGCTGCACTTTTTAAAAATATTTATATATTTGAGACTTTCTGCAGACTTTCTACACTTGGTATCATGCATAATATCACCTCCTCGTGTGTGACATGACTGCAGCAGCCCTCGAAATCAGAGAATTATGCACATCAGCAGAGATGTCAAAGTATTAAAATTCCCTGAAAAGCAAGCTTTCTGAATTGGAAATTGAGAATAGGGTGTCTGAAGCATTTCACAAGGCCAAAATGATACCAAAGGAACTCGTAAGGAAAATGCACCTACATCTGACAAATGCTCTATTTCTAATCCAACCACCTTTAATCATTTCATCCTTAAAAGGCAGATATTGAATTGATTGTGGGGTACTTCAGTTGCAATTTATTTCCTGTATAACTTTTACAGGGAGAGGCCACCCTTTTATTTACCTAATTGTAATTACACTCAGATAAATCTGCCTCTGTGTGTTTGAAGCATTTGGCATAGCTTTAATGATATTGATCATTAAAATAGAGAGAGACCATTTGTAATAGCTGGTGGTGAGAATTTATCTCTGTCACGATACATTTTCATCTGAGGGCTCCTTAGAAGGCAATAAAGAAGTGACCAGGAATAGGAAAAGATACCTGACTACCACCAGTGGAGCAGCCTTGTCTCAGTAAAAATAATATTAGTTGGTTAATTCTTTATGCAAAAAAAATTGGAATTCCAATCTTGGGCAAGTGTCCAAACATCAGATACTTGTAACGAAGCTAATGCCAACCAGTGCACCACTTTGAAACTGATGGATTGCCATGAAGTTTGGTACTGACAGTTATGATCCCCAGAGGATGAATCCTAATGACTTTGCTGATCACTTGTAGCACTGCCAGTCCTTTAAAATTTCCCTCACATCCTGAGAAATATCACAACATCTACTGGGTGGATTTTGTAACATTTTGTACAAACGGTTTCCAGACGATGCATCAACAAACTATGATCTTGTGACGTTAACTGCAGCAACATTATGCAGCATATATTCTTAGTTTTGAGTAGTTGATGGATTGATTGCTATTGACGTTAATAGACACTTTTAAATTTGGGTCCTCTATGAGATTCAGCAGAATGATATTGTGATACTCAGACTTTCAGCCCAATTATTGGACTGTACTTTGCATTTAGAGATAATTATCAAATTTTAGCACATCACTATGCTGAAATGAAAATGGTGAGCATGGTTTGAAAAGAAAGGAAAAGAAACGTGCTTGTCTTTCTTGTTTTGTGTTTGGCAGTAATAGTAAAACTGGACTTCAGATGCAGGACATTTTCTCCTTCTCTATTATAAATATAAGCAATTATAATTATATACTTGGTCAGATATCTTAATTGGTATCATTATACCTTTTATGCAATGTGTTTTCCATTTCCTTCGAGACACGTGTGATTTCCTTTGTGAGCCCCTGGGGCAACCAATAATAGTCCCTTCACCTTGTTCACAGGAAATATCTTTGGGCTGAGAAGGCATCTCAGTGGCCTTCACTCTGCGTTACACCCTTCCACCGCTCGGCTTCTCTCTCTCTCTCTCGCTCCTCCACTCCACACCCTGCAAGAGCTCTGCTGACCAAAACCACAAACCCTGCAAATGCCAGTTGTAGACTGTGTGCGCTGTGTGTCCGTCTTTGAGTGTCTGTTTAATGTACATGCATGAAATGCTGCAGCTCTTGCACCCTAAATACCGCAAGGCACTGAGATCAGCAGCTTCATTTAGCTATGCTTTCATGTTCCACTGTTCCTTCAGTCCGTCACCATTACACTGTGTCACCACTCTGAGCAGCCTATTGTCTTCCAGGTGGAACTGTTGATTTCACACGTCCCCCACATTTCCTCTCCTGCCTGTTTTAGAAGAGTCTGAGTCTTTATTTCACATGTCTAACATCATCTCTTAAAAATATCTTCAAGTCGCCAGGGATCAGACTGTAATCTCTGTGGCTCACCACTTCAGAGGGGGCCGATGGCAGACTGACGACCCCTGGAGACAGGAGCAAGAGGCACAGCCACAGTGGGGAGAGGGGAAAGGAGGACACTGCTGCTGCTGCTGCTGCTGCTGCTGCTGCTGAGTGGAGCAACTTAAGGAATGCCTGATGAGTGTGTGTTCAGGCCAAGGCAGACGAGGGCACTGCTCCTGTCGCAATAACTGGATGATAGAGAGAGAGAGAGGGGGAGACTGAGTGGAGAGACTGAGGGGGAAGTCAGGATACGAGAAGCGTAAGAAGGGCAAAGAGTGGTGGAAGGACAGAGGCAGTCGAGAGGAGTGGGAGATAAAGAGAGACGGACTCATACATACGGTCATTGAAAGTAAGAGGGAGTGATATGAGAATAAGGGAGAAGTGGCCTGAGGAAGAGACCCCATTGAGCTCCAGCATATTATCTCTCGCACTTAACAGTCCTCTTAAAGTCAGAACAGGGCTGCATGGAAGATAGAAGTCAATAAAAGCCCTGAATACTGAGTGTAGGAAGGGTGATACTGAAATTCCTCCATGCATGCTTGAAGGACCTGCGATTGTTCAAACTTTTGATAATAGCTTAAACCTCCATCTGAAGTTTGTTGCGAGCATTTTTTTTTTTTTACCCCCTACCATGTCAGTTCTGAAGCATACATGATGAAGAAGCCCCCAAAACATTCAAGGAATGTATCTAAAGGCAGTACAAGTCGTGTTTTCATCACGTCAGCGAAAAGGTGACATAACTCAGCCTTCATGACTGATGCAGTTCATTTGGTGTCTGCTTTAAAATCAACTCAGTGCATGTTTTGAGGGAGTTAGAGTGGATACACCAGGCTGTATTTTCATTATCATTCTAGCGGAGTCATTTAACATTATAGATCTTTTTCACAGCAGACATTTTGATTTGTCACAGTAAGGAGAGCAATGGCGTATTTATGATGGCTGCATTCTTTTTAGGTGAGGTATAGTTTTTGGGCGTTTAATGAAACAGACACATCATGAATTTCAACGGGGCTTTCTCTTACTGTGACAAATCAAAAAGTCTCCAATAAAAAAGGGCCTACTGTCCACTATTGCACCGTGAGTTGGTAATGCGCGTGTATCTGAAAAATCATTTTTATCTTCCTATACCCTGGTTTCCTATCACACTTGGTGATGCTGGTTTCAATCATTGAGCTGTGAGCTGCTGGAAAAACTGAGCAGATGATGTGCTGAAAATATAGATATTTTTAAACATATTTTTAACCCATTGGTTCAGTCTGATTTTTGTTTGGTGTTTTCTAACTATATGGCTTTGGTGTTAATACGTAATGTGTTTTTTTAGGATAATTAGAATTTATCATTTCTATTTTTTTTATTTTGAGATTTTACTGTTTTACTATAAACAATGTATTTATGTATTTCATTATTAGTTGTATTGTTTGTATTATTCTTTATTATCCTAGCCACTCATCTTGCTGTTTTGGTGAGCATTTAACCTCTTAAGCTCTTGTTTGATATGCATTTTTCTATTTCTCTTTGCTATTTGATCTGATCAAATAGCAAAGAGAATTTAAAAATTAATATATATATATATATAAAGAAATGAAAATATATTTAGAAAACAGATTTAAAAATATTTGTTTATTTTATTTATTTATTTATTTTAAATTGTATTTTAGTTTATTTTATTATTATGTTATTTTATTTTATTTTATTTATTATTTTTAATGTAACTACTGTGGTAATATAGCCCAAAATGTGATGTCCATGCATGTCTTAAGGTCAGGTCTTAAGAGGTTAATTTACAAAATCTATTTTAATAACATTCAATGTTTTATCACTTCCTTGTCACACACTTTGAACTGCATTGGTGTGTTTGAAAAGTGTTCTATAACAAAAGCTTTACTGACTAATTTCTTACTTTGTTGTGTACTTAATGGGAAAAATTGCTGAAAATACGACACATTTGAAAAATCTACTTCACTAAACTCTCTTCGGTGGTGGAGAATACATTGATCAAGTGTTATATTGAAATTCACAGGTGTATTTCTATTTTCTGCTACTTCACGCTCCAATTCAGATGCAAATGTTGTGCTATTTATATTTGTACTTTATTTATCTTGCAGGGACTCAGCGGGGATTCTAAATACCTACAGAACAACATAAAAAATGATGGATAAATGCATATTAGTATATTTTAAACTAACTCACAGTTAAATGCTGTTTACATATAAAAGCACCAGCACTGATAACACAATAACAATATGACACTCTGACAGAGTCCACTTTGCATAATCAGTAATTTAACTTTTATTACTTTTGTCAGTTTTGCTGACAATGCTTCTGGAGTTTCAGTTTTAAGGGTATGCTGAATTTTATCAATGTGAAATGAAGCACAGTTCAACATTGTGGTCATGTTTACTGCAGTACTGACGTTCACCGCCAGGAGCACTGCAGCTTCAATATGCAGCGCAGAAGAAGAGAAGCGAAAAGTCATGGCGGCTGACAGTTTGTAATGAGCCAACGAAAACAGTGAAGACTCTTGCAAGTTGTGTATTCAACGTCCAAAAACAATCCCGGGGATAGAAAAGAATCTGCCGGCAAAATGCAGATAACTTTGAAGACCTTACAGCAGCAGACGTTCAAAGTCGACATCGATGAAGAGGAGACGGTAAGTGACAGTTAAAAATCATGCATTTGTGAAGGGGGTGGAGTGGGAGTTGGGTATGTCCTGGAACCGAGTACAGTTTTTGACCATTTCATTCGGGACGATCGATAGTTTGTGCGTACAAAAACACGACAGATTGGTTGTAGCTTAACCCGTTATTAAGGTTAAAACTGCATTTATTTGAAGTTTGACTTTGAGCAGTTTGGCGTCGTTTATTACCCACTGGTCAGGAAAGTAGTTTGTATTGTCAGCATTTAGTCGGAGCCCACTTAAGGGTCCAGATGTGGGGGGGAGTTGACAAGTTAGCCTTCATGTTAGCATTTAGTGTTTGTGAACCTTTCGTATTCGTGAAAGTTGTTAAAGTTAATACTGAAATTTCCGTGAAATAAAGGCAATTTTTGTGACAATAGCGGTTAATTAGCGGTGTTTACTGTAGTTATAGCGTTTAGTAATGATAAGCCATTGTTCGTGTTAGTAAGCTAGTACTAAGCAGCACCAACGAAACACTGTTTAGGAAAATCTGTTAACGTTAGCTTTAAACGTCGTGACTAAGGGCAGCTAGCTACTTTACTTTTTTTAATAAAACACTTTCGTTAAGGAAATCCCCCTAAACCTTTAAGTTTTACTTTCAATAAGCTTGTTTCGGTATGCAGTTAGCTACATGTACAGTCAGCGTGTTGTCGTCAATTACTTAATGTGTAAACTTGCATTTATGTGTAAAACGTCGTTAGTCTGTTATTTAAAGTCAGGGCTTGGCATTGTTTTTGAGCTGGTTTCACTGAAGGAGTCTAAAGTATAATCCACTCCAGTTTTATGATGTCGTTAGCAGTTAGTTCACACTTTGGACTGTATTGACTGTGGTGCTGGGGCTGGGCAACATGGGGACACAAAGGCTGATTCCTTTTTGTTTGTTTTTTCCCCCCACAGGTGAAAACATTAAAAGAGAGGATTGAACAGGAGAAGGGAAAGGACACTTTCTCAGTTGCTGGGCTGAAATTGATATATGCTGGTATGTTATATGCTACAGAACCCTCTTTAAATCCTGCCTTTTCTTCACAACAGTTTATTTTGTGCTATTCATAGGAGTTAAAGTAGTTGTAGACTTACTGTATGATGCTTAATGTTGTCCAAACCTACCTTAAAGTGATTTCAACATTTTAAGTGTTTGACAACTCAATGATAAGAACATATAGTTTGTTTCACAGCTTTCCCGAAGCATGCATTGTTTTATTTGAAAGGCAAACTCCTGATTTCCTATGACAGATAAGTTAGACAGTGTTTGACAGCTTCTCTACATAATCCAGCATGGAAAAATACTGAACAACATCTCAAGTTGTGGCGGTCCTCCAGAAAACCACAGAAATCCAGACAAGGTTACAGTTTTTCTTACCAGCAGCAGCAGCAGCAGCTCTGCTCACGTCTCTCACCGCTGCAAGCTGAAATACCACCGAAGCTGCTGGTTGCTGTTCATTCCCCTGCTACCTCTCCTGTGGTTAAACTAGTAGTCTATATGATTCAATCGATCAAATCCTGCTAGATTCCCCCCTCGAACTCCCTTCTGTTAGCTCAGGACACCAGCTTTCAGTAGTTATTGTTTTGGAAATTGTCAGCTTGTTCCACCTTGTGAGTTTAAACAAAACAGATGTAAACAAGCCTTTAACAGGATAAGAAACGCAATTGTTAGATTTAGTTTTTAGTTATTGTGTGATTTGATTAGTGAGAATAACGTAGAAATATTTAGCAATTTATAGTGAAATCCAACTCAGTGGCCTTTGGTGAGCCGGAGGTTGCTTGGCTCTTGTATTGTCATTTGTTGCCCTTTCAGTTATGATACGTTAAGTTTTCATGTTGATACTTGTAATGGAACAATTTTTTTCATAAATAAGGATCTATTTCAATATCTACGCTGTAATGCAGATGTTCACACAGATTGATTTGTTGTATTTTTTTCCCAGAAACACCTACAATTGCAGTTTCTAACTCTAATTTTAGACCTTATGTGACATTTTACAAATCTATTAATACAGTGCTCCTGACATGACTAACCATATTGCTCAAATGAATTACGAAACTGTTGGAGGGCTGCGCTGTCTCGCTGGTAAAGCATGTCTTTTAAAGCTACAACAAAAACTGACATGTACCATGAAGCCTCACTAAGAGCATGTCTGTTTGGCAGACAAATGAAAATGTTAGCCAGATAACTGCAAAGGTTGAAACACAAGTGTTTCGTAACAAGCTAGCCTTCATTTCTTTCAACAAGCTTTGCAGTTATTTGTCTTTTAGAAGTTGTGTTAGGATAAAGATTGCAGAAACATGCGGAAAGGCTGCATAGAAATTGATATTTTGGTCAAAACTTCCCAGTTGCACCACAGCACTTGGTGTTTGATAACAGTCAGACATGATGTACTCCGAGGGAGGCTGAATGCACTTTAGATGCAGCGTGCGTGACCATATTATATAGCAGCTTAGACATTAGGCTTGTGCTTGACCTACTAAAATTTTCACAGACATGCATATAGCAGAAAACAAAAGCGTAACAAGAAGAACTCGATGCGGTGACAAAAGCGGGCGATTTAGCCGCTGAACAACCTTCTGTTTAATGATACAATCTGATACTATCTATTGTTACACCGGCCCATATAGTTGATGATGTCATTGTGGGTAAAGCCAATAAGTTGTGAATAAGTCTCTGTTTCTTCACAGGTAAAATCCTCAACGATGACACAGCCCTCAAAGAATACAAAATCAACGAGAAGAACTTTGTGGTCGTCATGGTGACAAAGGTTCGAGACTTAAAAATAGTTTTCGGAAATTGTCGGATTTCTTCGTCAAACAGATCTTGTGATATTTTTTTCTTTGTTGTAGAACATCATGTTCTTGAATGTTGTGGGTACATGCTAATATTGAACTATGATTAGGTTTTGTAATCTTCTCTTTCCACATCCGTCCACTTATGTCTGTCTGTTAGGGCTGTTGAACAGCCTCTTCTGATGCACAGGAACAAGTAGCTCACACTGCTGACATGGAGTGGGGTCACTGTCCTCAATATCTGGCTCTGGTTTATTACCGTGTATTCCAGTACACTGCCGATTACTTGTTTCAAGCAAAGATTAACTCAAAATAAAAGTGTGTTATTCACATGCTTTTGAAACTCTGTTGTGCCACAAGGCAGCATCTAACATAATGTAGTGTTGTATTAGTATAAGATGACCTGTTGTTGCTTTATAATCAAATGGGATCTGTATTTTTCTTGTTCTGCAGATAGAGGGAAGCTCTCTTAATCCGGCAGAGCTCCTCAGGGGCCGTATATTTAAATTTCCTCACATATTTTAACGTCAATTTAGTATTGCTTTGGAAAAAAGAAGTATTATTGAATGAGATGTGGTGTCTGTAGACGCAAGCTATCAAAAGCCTCGGATTTATTTTAAAAGCTGTATTTGAGAGCTCTGGCTGGCTATGTCATGCATGTTTAGTTGCTTGAAGCCTGTAATGGCCTTTATTAGTGGATCTTCCTTAGTTAAGTAACTCTTAAGGCGAAGGCAGCCCAAAGTAAAATGCAGCCCAAAACTTATATTTGTGATTACAGCATTTATGGAAGTGACTCATTGTAAATATCAAGTGTTGTTGGAGAAATAACAAGGTTATATGTCTTCAACTTTGTTTTGCAGCCTAAAACAGCCTCTGCCGCCCCACAGTCTTCACCAGCTGCTTCAGCTCCCAGCACCACAGCTCCCGCTGCACCTCCTCCTTCATCTTCCAGTTCGGACAAACCAGCAGAGCCTGCCTCCACAGACAGCAAACCAGAAGAGAGACAGTCTTCGACAGCTGAACCATCTTCCACACCTGTCGGGTAAAGATGGGTAGATGTTTGTCTTTAACTATTAATCTGATGTCAGTGTGCCTTGCTGTGAGAAATGATGTGTAGTCCATGCCTCACCCAAGGTCTGTTTCTCTTGCAGTAGCTCTGAGGCTTCAACAAACACAAACTTAATCAATGAAGCAGTTTCAACTCTAGGTAAGGCTGCTTTTGTAAAGCTTGTGTGTGACTTTTTTTGTTATTGGATGTGATTGAAAAGTAATTTTGGGTTTGATGGGTAGTCTGTCACAAATATTGCATCATTTGCTAGACTTGTGCAAATAATAGCCTTGTACGTTGCCTTTAACCTGTGTTTTGTTTACATAAGTCTGTGGGCTCGTGTGAATCGAGGTTGTTGATTAATTTTGGCTCACCTTATTTCTGCTAGATATCTGTATAATCAATAAACAGCCAGATACTGCAGCTCGGCCAAAACTTAATCCCACAGTTCCCAACGGCCACATGCTGGAAACTTTGCAAATATTGTTTTGCACAGAGCAGATCCTGACTCATTTCGAAGCTGTCAGTGTGAATTTTCAGCATTTGAGGCAGGTTTATGGGACAGAGAAGAGGAGTTTATCTTTATATATTCGAACTTTTAAAGCTGCTATGCATTAACATCGAGCTCAGCTAATACGTTGTTTTAATATTATGCTGTTGTAGCTTGACATACCAGTTGTGTACGCTGTGGTATGTAATCTTAAAAACATGGAAGCAGAACATATCTTCCAGATGGCAGTATGTGGATCTTTATGTTTCATGTTAATGTATTTAGAGATCATTCATTTTCCTCAAATTAAAACATATGTTAACATCTCTCTTGTGGACAGTTTGACACACGTGTTTTCAAGTAAATGACTGCTGCACATTCTTTGTCTAACACTAAAACAGAACAGAACACCTATTGACAGATATTGGGTCATTAAAGCTTTACATATGGTTGAGCTTATATTTGTAAGTTTTGATTTTCCTGCAGAGATGGAGAGTATAGCACTCAAGCTAAAACTGAACTAAACTTTTTGTTGCACTACTGAAATTCGCTTTCTCTCTCCGTGTTTGTGTTGTGCCTATCCTCTTTAGTGACGGGCCCATCTTATGACGCCATGGTGAACGAGATGATGCTTATGGGCTACGAGAGGGAGCAGGTGGTGGCAGCACTGAGAGCGAGCTTTAACAACCCAGACAGAGCTGTGGAATACCTGCTCACAGTGAGTTATGTCTTTGGTCGTAATAAATGTGTCTCCGAACAAATTATTGAATCGATACACAACCTGACACATGATAGCTCATACGTGTGTGTTGCTCTTGGCAATCATAGAGCTCAGTGTCCTTGCTCAGGTCATGAACACACTCATGTATTGTTATGGAGGAATGTTTATTTTAGTGTCTACTGTGGCTTGGTGTTGACATTCATAGCATGGTTGTACAAATTCCTGTGTACAGCTTACTAACACGTCAGTTCCGAGGTCACACTACTACTTTTACAACAACTCCAGAATTGCTTCCTGAATAACCCTAAAAATGTGCACAATACCCTGAAGATACCTGCTACCTTAAGGCAGAAGAGAACCACAAGTAGTGGTGATATAGTGATATAAATTAATCGAAATACCTCAGTGTGACAGTCGAGCCTGTTCGATATAAATTTGAATCGGTGTATATCATGACTTTTCCTAAAGGGCATCCCAGGCAGAGATCAGGGCCCGGCAACAGGACCTGATGCGGTGGCGCCTCCAGTGAGTGGAGCTCCAGCTGTATCCACAGGCGGTATCAGCGTTCCCGCCAACACTGGCTCCTCATCAAGTGCTGGGGGAGGTAAACTGCCCATCCTGTTGTCCATATAACAGCAGCTTCAATCTGCAAATGTATCTCTATTATTACCCTTCCTGTCCTTGTCCTCTTGCTTCTTGCTGCTTACGCGGTCTGACCTACACTTTCAGGCAATCCTCTGAGCTTCCTAAGAAATCAGCCCCAGTTTCACGTGATGCGACAGCTGATCCAGCAGAATGCCGCCCTTCTTCCTGCCTTGCTGCAGGAGATTGGCAGGGAAAACCCCGCACTGTTGCAGGTGAAGAAATGACAAAAGGTTGATGTGTTTTAAATCGTAAGAACATTTCAGGAAGTATGAATGTGTTTGAAGTCTTTAATATAGTTCTGATCAAATACAGTTATGGTTTAAACACTGGTGTCACATAAGAGGACGTTAACACGACTTTTACATAAGTTTACTCATCACAAGGTTTAGAAAACGGTTGTGTGATGTTTTCTGTGGCTCTAGAAGCAGCTTTCTAAAGTTTGAATTAGTAATCCTGAAGATGACATTCGGGTTAACACAATTTAGCCTTGAGAAATAACCATTTTAAACTAAATCTGCATTGATCGTTGCAGTCTTCTGCATCCTGTAGTGAGTCTTTAACAAGTTTTAATATAAGGCAAAAATGTGTTCCACACAGCACTTCCCCAGAGCTGTAGATTTATTGGGACCAGATATAGCCAGCTACTTAGTGTCTGTATTTGTGAATGTGTTTTAAAAAACAGGATTTTCAAGCCTCTCCTAACTCCGTTTCGGCCTTGATTCTCTAATGTGTGCCTTATGGAGCTGCATTATTTATTCTTATATTTATTTATGCATTTGTTTTGCTTCACTGAAAATGTACAGCTGATGTTCTAAACTTGTATTTACTACTGTACTTCAGAGTTGTCTGTGCTAAGGAACATTGAACACTATCTGTACCTGCGCTGTTCACTTACGACTGCAGGAGATCAGCAACCACCAAGAGCAGTTCATCCAGATGCTGAATGAACCCAATCCAGATGCAGTGCCAGTAGGTGGCGGGGGCGGGGGTGGGGCAGGAGGAGCAGGGGGAGCTGGAGGGCTGGGAGGTGACACACCTGGTGGAAGTCACATGAGCTATATCCAGGTCACACCACAGGAGAAAGAGGCCATTGAGAGGGTGAGGAGGAGCACAACACTGTCACTAATCCTGTCAGTCATTTTTTACCAGAACTACTGGAATATTACATAAATCCATGTCTCCTATGACCTTGCCAAAGCCTCAGCTTGATTTTTACTCTCCACACAGTACTATAGACAGTGTTGAACCATAAGAAGAAAGTGTCGGTTTCTTATTAAAGTGTTGTTTGACTAATTTACGGCTCTTTTCTGTCTCTCTCCAATTCCAGCTAAAAGCTTTAGGATTTCCAGAGGGACTTGTTATACAAGCCTACTTTGCTTGTGAGAAGAACGAGAACTTGGCTGCCAACTTCCTTTTACAACAGAACGTCGACGATGATTAAAAGAGCCGTCCTCGTTTGATTTTTTTTTTCTTTTCTTACTTCTTTCTCTACTTTTTGATTGCTGATGTTCAATATATGTGTACAACAAGCCCTTTCATATCCAAAAAAAAAACTATTTTATTCACCAATTCCACATTCAGTTCTCTTAATAACACTGGATCATTTATCAGCTGTTGGCTGGTGTACAAGGACAGGCTGTTGTTTGTGATCACATAAAAATGAAAGAATAATAAAAGTACAATAATTTTGCATCAGAAATCACGTGTGTGCTATTGATTTTCTTTTGCAGGATTTTTCTTAACTTTGAGATTTGCAACTCTTTTGTGGTTTTCATTGTAAGTGAGACAAAGTCGGGGTGGATTGAAACCTAGCAACAGTATTCATGTGCTCTTATTTGAAAAGTAAAGTTTACTAAAAACGTAGATTTGAAAATTGTGCAAAACAAACAACTACAATGTCACTTTTTCACATGAGCATCCCACAGCTGTATGTAAATCAGAAGGGCTGTTCGCAGGAGCTATGAGTCTGAACCACGACGCATATGTGAAGGATCATATATCAAGTTTACATGTGAGGTAAGGCTTAGCTGCAGTGATGTCATTTTTACAGAAAAAAGTAAAAGTTGTTCAGATAATGAAAGCCATGTTTCTGTGGCTGTGTGTTTGGTGTGTGGCTGCGCAGAGATGTAATTGGACGTGCTTTGCCTAAAGGTACACAGCACAGTTTTGTTAGGAAATTAGGCTCACTCTGTTACACCATCAGCTGACTCTTCACCATATTCGTTAATTGCAGCCACAATTATTTGCCTTTTTGCAGAGAAAGTGCAGCAATTCCATCCACTAGACCGAAAACAAATGAAAAAAGCTGACATCTGGAGCACCACGCCGCTGAATGATACGGTAATGAAAGAAGATAAATAACTTCTGTAGCAGTAAACTCTATTAGCTGTGACCTGGATCAGGCAACAATCTAATAAAATGACAGTACATGTAATTTACTAATACCGAAGGGCTATTTAATGTTCAGTTACTCGTTAAAGACTATACAAAGTATCATTTATTGTCATATACGCTTTATTGGTGTCGTAAAAACCCCCCACACCATAATTTGCTGGTATTACGTGGGGCTGTTATTAAGCTGTAAACTGGGAATTTTTTTTAAAGACCTAAAAGGTTTTTCCCCCTGTGCTGCTTTTAGGGCTGAAGGATGACAAGAGGAGCTCAGCGAGTGCTTTAACTGAATCAACCAATAGGGGGCAACACAGACCACAACATCTTTCTGACTTTCAGCACCAAGTGTTATTTGCCAGCCTGAAGGTGAGTGACTTTACCACAAATGTGTCGATACCTAAAAAACGAACAGATTTTAAAGTAGATCAGTACTACTGGTAGTATTAGTTGGACTTCTAACGACAGCTGAAATGTTTTTTTGTGCTTTTACAGCATTGGGACAAAGGGTACACTTCAAACTTTGGCTCTTGTGTCATTTGAACTTATTTTCGTTAGATGGTAAATTACTATTCTTGCACTACTTTGATGATTTTTTGGTTTGCAAGGTGTTAAAATGCTGCTGCAAGTAAATAGCAGAACCACTGGAAACCACACTTTGTTTAATTATATATCGATAAGAAGTACTCTCATATTTTTCTTTATAAATTTTGTCACTATTTATTAATAAAACTGCCGTTATTAAGTTTAGGGACAATTTTGCTATTTTCACAGTGCAACAAATATTTTAACACAAATGAAAAGAGATGCAGCTGTTATGCTAAATCTCAGTCGTGTGTTTTGTTTTAGTATTACAACATCGACGTGTTACATTTTTGTGAGAAATGCAAGTTGATATATAGCATACAGACAAAACTGCACAGCATGATACACGATGATAATGACTCTGTAGCAGAAACCTATCAAAACACTATCTGGCTGCAGCATCTTTGTGGGTTTTTTATTCATTTTGTGTACCTGAGAGCTCCGGCACAGAGTGGAAGTCAGATTTGGTGTCACCCTTGAATGTCAGCCAGCAATTTGGTTGTCCTGCCCATTCTTCCCCCTGACAGGTGGAAAGGGAACCCCATGGAAATGGGACATTGTAGGAGTGAATTTTCTTTTGAAAATCTTTTTAGCAGCAACATTGTGTTAGTTTGCCTGCGGTCATCTCACTATTATCGGGGAGGATATTGTGTGCGAGCTGACTGTGAGCTATTGTTGCCATTTAAATGTGCTTCTCCATTACACTGGCAGGGAAATCTTCAATTACTGTGACTAATGATGTTCTAGCAAACTTTTTCTTGACATGCACGACACTTTTTTTGTCACTTTTTTTGTTTATCATTTCAGCATGCTTTCTTTTTTCCCGCTTTGCTTCGTTTTCAATGACAATAGTGTAGCTATGGTGAAAGCGCATGAAGGTCATCGTGGTTTTCTTATTTCAAATACATTTTATTTTAATATAATGTAAAATACAAAACAATAACAAAGCATTTTTATTTACAAATGTACAAAATTCAAGATTATATTACATATTTTGGCTATAAACAAAAATCTTTGTTCAGAGTTACTCATTCAATACAAAAATACGAATGTCTCATATAAATTATTGCACTTTGCAGCTGCAGTGCATTGAAGATTGCCATCACCATTTAAAAAGTGAAGTGTTCACCTGATTTAAGTCAGATTGTGGAAGAGAGGTTTCCAAGAAACACACAAACAACCATATGGCACTTTTCATTTCACCCTCTTGTCTATTTTCCTTAATCTTTGGTACCTTTTATTAAAAAAAAAAAAAAAAAAAAAACCTTATAAAAAGTGAAGTGTTCACCTGATTTAAGTCAGATT